ACTAGTTTGAGAGAGACGAATTAAATACGCCTTCGAGGTTTCAGGAACATCTTGAACTTAGTTAATTTCAGGGATAAAATTTTTAAGTTCCGGTTGACAATAACCTTTTGCAATGAAGTATGGAGAGTATACGAATTCATGCAACGCAGATGACAAGTCACAGTTGTTATGTAAACCTCATCCCGCCAACATTTACTATGATATGAGGCAGGTGTCCAAAACCTCTTTGCATAAATTATGAACACATCCAGATCTCAAAATCTTCCGTTTTCGAAGCGGTGACTCAGGTTGAAAGATGTGGACCGGTATCAACCTCACAAGGCATTTGATGTGTTCTAAAACTTGCGTGTTTACCAAGCTCAAGACAAAAATAGCAGCAGGGCAACGACATTCTAAAAATATACAATGAGCTCCGACGCATAATTAGTTTTGGCTTCGGTAACAAAGCCTTCGTACACTTTAAAATACCTCACAACGCCTTAATATCATCTTATCAGTCCACAATAATTGACTCAAGCCGCTTTCGTCAAACTTTGGAAGAAATTTTGTTGTTTCGATATGGTTTTTTTTTTTGCCACTGAAAAGAGGAACCGACAGTTCGCCGTAGTCGTGATAAAACTTTTTCATCATGTTTCATTCACAATACGAAACAAAAACCGCAACCATTGTTTTCCAAACAAGAGCTTTGAAGGGTGAGCGTCTTGTGAAGGCCTGAATTACCTGCAATTCGGTGGCGGTTCCAGTGTGATTTCTGCTAATTCCCTTTGAATTCTGAAAATATAAAATAAACCAATTTAGTAAGAAAAAACCAATCTGTCATTGCCTCCTTTTAGCAAAGCTGATAGTCCCAATTCCCAACTGTGGAAGGCAAACAAAGATAAAGACTTACGTCAATATCGGAGATCACAAATAACCCTCTGCCGCGATACCAAACTCGCGCTCGTTTTCGCGAAATTCGCTCAGTTTTTCCCAATCTGATCAAATCAGGCGATTCTTTGAGACATTTACTAAATACCAAGCTATTTCTGAACGCAATCAGACAAATTTCTAGCGCGAGCGAGCTTCACAAAGTTAACATGCAAATTAACGATCAACCGACGCATCAAGTGAACAAGGACTTTGTGTTACATTCACTTCACGCTACAACGAACTAAGAAACTAGACAACGCCATGCCCTGAGAGAACGCGTATGGTTAGTAAAAGGTCTTTTCATGTAAGAGGTAAGTTGAATAATGATCGTTGAAGTAAAAAAAGCAATCTCCCAGGGTCTACCTTTTAACAGCAGTTGATAATGTCTTGGGCGATCTTGCAGTACCCCCTTTCCTATCACGAAGTTCTCTTTTCAAGGTCGATGCTCTCGCGTTGTCATTCTCCTCAGCTGTTGGTCGGTTTGCCTGCTCTGCTGCCCGCCCAGACATCTAGATAAAACCTGTGTTTAATACACAAACAGCTATAAAGAAATCTCATTGAAACAACACGCGGAAATTATAAGAGCTTTCACGAGCTGATGTGTGAAAAGCTGAAGCTCAAGCAAGCTGGCCGCTGTAACATACAGCCAAATAGGAATTATTTCACTACAGGAAATGGACCGGCGAATTCCTTCATAAATGGACTACAAGCAAGTCTACTTTCGAGAGGCAAGCGATTCGCGATCTCGAGAAAATGCAACACTTTAACATTGAGAGAGATCTTGAAGAACAAACATGGCCGCCAGCAGATGTCTTTGCGGTTACGTCCCCAGACATAAAAAACAGCGCAAAATATGCTCGTGTTACGACAGAACGCACGTCAGAACACTCACAGTGAAATGAAGTGTGTCTCTAGGAGGTTTTTGGACTCGTTACACTTGTCACAAAGGCAAGATATGAGAATGAACTTTAAGCTCGCAGCCCACCCGTCATGTAGGCGTCACAAATGCCGTCTGCTTGGAAGATGTCGAGTATTTCCGCCTGTCAACGCGGTGTCAACAATTAATTAATGGTAGTGCGCGTAGACACTAATTTAGTTCAAAGAAATATCTCCCTAAGACCAATCGCTTTATTGAAAAGGGAGTTATCAGTTGAATGTGGGTTAATACTGGTTACTTTCAACCTATTTTTGAGGTCTTGTAAATTGATTAGCAGATAAAAGGTTCGGCTCACCTCAATTCAACGTCTGCCTATATCAGGCATTTTGACATGTCACAAAGATTTAAGCTTTAAGAGGATTTGGCATCATATTTAGAGATTTAAACACCGTTCTTCATACCTGCGTAGCGAAGAGAACGTTGAAAATTATTTTGAAATGAAAGTGTCGTCAATAGATCATTTAGATAGCTTTTTAGCAGCCTAATTTTGCGAAAGTAGCGCTTCCAGAGACGACTCAAGCACATCATGTTCTAATTAAGCAAGAAGGTAATCCGTTTGTTGGTCGAAGCAGCCGTGTTAGGGACAAAATGTAGTTTATATTATTTGGTAAACCTATTTGCAAGCATTTCAATATTTGATTTACCACTGGTAGTTTTTTATCATGGGTAGCACCTGTTTGACAATCTGAATACACAAATAAATCAGATGAACAGAGAATGAAACTTTCCATTGCGGGATAATAAAACTGTGATTGCAGCGTATCATCATAACACTTGCCTTCAGATAAAAGATTCATAGACTGCCCGTTAAGTCCAATGATATGACTCTGCATTTTAGACTGTTGTAATGAACTAATGAAGCATTTTCAAGGGAAGAAAAAACAGTAAGCAGTGCAACAGATTTTTCTCAATAGCTGACACCAATTTAGAAATGAACACGCCAGCGAAGGCTGTAATCCAAGTTTCCGGATCAATGCCGCTCTCGATTAGAGTGAATCACTTATTCTTATCGGCATAAAAACCTTCAAAGAAATGATAGTCGAATCAAAATTCATAGAGTTCTGTTTTACTTTCATATTTATGAAGATCATAGAGTTGTTGCTGTTGTTGATTTCTTTCTAACGTACTTGAATGAAACAAAACTTAAATAATATATCACCTATCGGCGCGATCAGTTTGGAGAGCTGTCCCAACAATACAGCAAAACAAGGTTAGATACCTTTCTTAACTCTGCCAATTGACGGCTGCTTTGATATTTCCTATATGTTGATTTATAGCACATTAATTTGTAGATTTTTTTAATAAATTCATTTTCCAGTAGAAAATCTTTTTCATATATTTTGCCTTCAGATTAAAGTTTTAACATTTGTGCATCGAATTAAGCCGGTTTTTTTTTTTCTAGGCCCTTGCATAATGCCTGTCTTTGCTGAGTAAAAATTTTATTAAGAATATAAAACTTTCAATTTCTGCCGTAAGAGGATCCTGTGTTTACCCAATGTTTCGGTTTGTTTACCCATTTGATTGCCAGACCGAACTACGGTTATTTATTTCAAAGTCAGAAGCCATTTGTTTGACTTTGAAGACCCAAATAATAACTAAAATAATTTTTGTTTTGTCTGTTATTTTAGGCGGGCATTTCTAGAAACGGATTTCGTAGAGTTGTCATTAAAATTGTTGATGAAAATGAGTTTGATTAATACGAGTTGAATTAAACCATTCAACTCGTTATCAAAGCTTTGTCCACCTCTCTTGCGTTCTGGCTTATCTGTGAATATTATTTCAAATCATTAATATTTTATGAGCACTGTAGAGAGAAAATTTGCATACTTGTCGTTGACTGATCACTCAAAATAACTTTCTCCTAGAATATTTCCTTGGAGGAGAGTTTTTAAAACTACAAAACTGTTATCTTGTAATTAAGAGATAATTATCTGTGTTAATGGCAAAAATAGGTTCTTTTTCTACGATGACCCCTTGGGAATTTTCGTGTGTTGTCAAGCGTGCGATTTATCGAAGCGTGAAAATTTCAATAACACTTCAAAACAATAGCAAATATTTTGTTTAAGTCCGCGCAATACAGGCATTGTTCAAAAGATTATTAACGAGTTTGTACAACAACAGGACTACAAAACATTTAACGTGGCCTTTTTGTTTCAACTATGGACTACTGGTCATGATTTCGAGGAAAGGTCGAATCTTAATGTTACAGATAATGAGCTTATGTAAAGTGATTTCAATAAGCCCTGAGAAGTCTTAAAAAATCATTTTACGAAGTGATTGGATAAAGTTTAAATCCTTTGGCCCCTTGTTAATTCGTACATTCCAGTACCTTAAAGCTCAACATTCTATTTGTTATTGGACATATAAAAAAAAGCCGATCAACTTGTCATCTACGCGATTACAGAACTGTAAAATATTTATCCAGGGATAGAAAAAATAACTCAAATAAATGAAATACTCCTTGAGGGTTCTTCTCAAAACCGCAATTTCCGAAATCTTGCCAAACAATAGACACATGTTGTGTGAATGTTGCAAAACGCCAAGAAATCCTAGTCAATTCGTGATATGTTGAAATAAGACGATAAATGAATAAATTTCACCCATGTTTCGATTATGATACGCAAATTTGAAAATTTATTCGATACGCCAGGATCTCAGTAATAGTTCAGTGGGCAAAGGAAATTGTGGAATCCAGGCAACTTTGGCAAACCGCAATGGTTTGAGTTTCACTTTAGGAAACTTGTGGGCTTCCTATTTGCAAATTTACAATTTGCCAAGAGTCAATTCCTCTCCCTTGTGTGAGGCCTTTCAATCTCCGGTTTCTCAGTTGTATTACCACATTGCCTTTCAGAGAACAAACAAAGTCCTTGGGACCATTATTTGTATTCGACTCGGAGGGTGTCAATCAACAGACGACGGGCATTGTTTTATTCCCCTGGGAATCATCGACAGCTGTTTCGTGTGATACTCGACCCCCTTCAAAAGCTCACCACACACGGCCTGTGATTGGTCGATTTTCTCGTCGTGTCGATGGCCGATAAATTAGTATTATGACGCAGTCTATTGATAACTTAATGACGTCTTTCCTTGACAGGCGGAGACCAATAGTAATGCCTTGCGCGCTTGATTACTGAGTCAAGAACAGGCTCGGCAGCTGGGAAAAGTGGAAGACCGAAAAGCTTGCTCCATCTACGGTTAGAGTTATCTTCTAACCATTCATAAACGTCACATCCACACCGAAACAGTCCATTTTCACTCTAAAAGGTTAGGACATCTTCTTAGGACTACGTGAGTGTTATTAATATCACTGTATCATGAATGATTTGTTCATGTTTCACCGTGCCGTCTAAAGAGTTTCCTGCCGACTGAGTCAGACACGATCTATCGAGCCGGGGAAGTTTAATTTTGGGAGGCAGAATTCCTATTTAAAACGGCCGAAGATCGTATCTTTACTAACAGAAATAATTCTTTGTCTAAAGGCCTTGTTATGGGCGATAATATAATTGCAGTACAGATCACGGTGAACTCGTACGCAGAGTATAACGGGAAGCGTTCTGAATCTGGTAGAACAGGCCGCCATCATTAAAGTGTGACACTGCCCTTTAATCAAATCTGTCTTAAGATTGTCACGTGGTGTGCTGATCTCCTCCAGTTTTCTTTGGGAGGCGATCTATCATCATGGCATGTTTATTCGCCGTATTTAGACTGTGTGGGCGCGTAAAATTTGTTTTGCCATCAAGGGATCTGAGGAGTGTCTTTAGGTGTCAAACAGCGCGCCTGTGTAAGTGGACCTAACTGAAAAATCCTCGGCTATCAAGTAATATCGTTAATTTCCCACCATCTTAGGGGTCGCGGCCAGATTTACAAATTCACCTTGTGAAATCCTACGCTAGCTTCATCTTATTGACGATGTCAGAACACACCGCGTTGAGTTCTTCGTCTAATGCCGATGACAGAAGAACCGTTCAGCAGAATGAGGGCCCATCATCTGGGACTACGGGCACAAAGCGGGCTGCTCGCAGTCGCGGAGCCGCCTCTCGGCCCGTGAAATCTGCATCAACCTCCGCCAAGAGGTAAGTTGACTGGCGCAAAGCCGCAGATTGCGCATAATTTCCACAAGATAGTTTAGGCGGAGACAGCGATCACATCAATTCATCAGATCATCTCTAATTTGCATGTTAAGTTCACTTCGTCCGCGTTCTCTGTTCTTTCGACTGAAAGCCGAGTTATTGGCCTTGATATTGTCAGGAGTGCCTAATACACTGTTTTAAGTATCGGCCTTATAATTTATCAGATCTGAGATTGTTAGACTCCCAGTGCTACCAAAGATGTTCCGTAGAAGGTTAGCTTCATTAACATATTTCCCTTTCTCGTGGCAGCTCTTAATTATAAAATGTAATTCTTTATTTTCTTTAATGTGCTGTATTTCAGAATTCAACGAGAATTGGCTGAAATTGCCCTCGATCCGCCGCCGAACTGCAGGTAACTTTCTCTCCTTCTTCGAGCTCAAAATGCGATGCTGGACTTTTGAAATTTTTGTTTGGTCTCAAAACAATAGGATTGCGAGTTTTGTTTCTCGAATAGTAAGCTGTCTTTTAAACATGCTTCGGCTCTTTTCATTTTAGCGAAAGCAGAATTTACCGCAAAGGCTTAATAACCAAACAGCCGGAACATTCGTCAAATATTTCATCAGTTAGGGAATTTCTGCCAATAAAACAGACACACAAGGCTGAATTATTTATTTTAAAGTGGTAAAGACATTTAATCTAGCCACGTGGGATAGAAAGTCATTGTTTTGTTAACTTTAACAAGGTATGCTAAAAAAAATACGCGTTACGCGTGGATAGTTCTTTACATTTAGCGACTTATTTTAGCGGCTAACAAATTGAATTCAGTATCACCAGATTTCCTCTTTAATTTCACAAACTTCTGTTCACGTTTGCGGTAATCAGGTAATCGATACGTTGAATATATAAGAGTTTGGAGTCTGCTTTCCAATGCATCGCTCTTGATTGATTCCTCCGTGTTATGACTTATTGTATGTAAATCAACAATTTCTCCGACACCTGCGTTCGGATTAGTTTCTTATTTTTGCGTGGCGCAGCCAATAATTTATAATGCTCATTTTATTCAATTAGTGCTTGCGGTCGAATTTGAAATTACTTCAAGTCATCGCGATGTTTTTTCGTTTATTCTCATCAGTTTTTATTCGAATTTCATCCGCTGTTTGTACAAGCAGAATATCACTCGACCTGAATTTTCAAGTTTCGGTCAATCGAAAGCTTTTGCAACTAATACCTGTAAGAGATTTTGAGAGCGCTGTTAAGTTTGGCGAAGAGCGAACCTAAACGGTAATATCTCCTTCGGGCGCAAGATACTTCTAAATGCACGTCGAAAAAGGGAGATAACTCAGTGAAAGTGTCTTCCTTTTTTCGCAAATAACCTAGATTTTCTCGTATCGTATCGCAGATTTATTATCACGCTCCTTGGTCAATTCTAAGTACCTATAATGCGTGATAAAATTTACCATATTTATTTTTTAACTCATCGGAACTTGTATTTTTTTCGTGCATTCGATCGAAGCCGCTCTCTGGAAAAACTTTCTCAAGATTTGGAAACATGGCAGCATTTTTCGGCTCATTCTTTTCCTTTCGAGCAGAATTTACATTGTACAATATTGTTTGATTACTGTGTGTTTGTAAAACCCTTTTGTTCTGTTAATGACTTAAACACCGGTTATTTTAAATTTGTTTTGGCAAACGGCTCGACCCGACTGCATTTCGGCTGGTCTGAGTAACTCGGCGTTGAAACTTAATATCACGAGATTCATTTATAAGCTTTGCCTTTCAGTGTTCGAATCTTTAAATCTACAGCTTCCATCTCAAAAAAGTTACCGCTTTTGTCCTTAAAATTTACTCTTCTGAATACATTTATTCAAATTCAAGTATTTTAAATCTACAAGACAACGCCACTTACTTATTTTGATTCGTATGAACTAACATTTCAACAGTTTTTCAAACTCTTTCAAAGACACGACATGTTCTGAAAATTGATTTGAACGATGCCGTCTCTAGCTGTTGTAAGGAAAATTTTGCCATTTCACACCGAAGTACAATCACGTATCTCCCTACGAAATGTTTCAGTTTATCGGTTAAATGCAAACGTTCTTCGCCTTTCTCCAGTAAACTGATCGAGAATCTTAAGCTAAACCATGGAATTGGGGCTCTATAAAGCGGAATGGTAGCAATGACAAATTGCAGTTCAACATTTCCAAATTTAGCCAATCGATCTTCGTCTATCGCCTACTTCATCTGAGCTTTGACCTTTTCGCGCGTAGATTTAAATAGCCTTTCTCAAGTGCATGGAACGTGATAATATGAAATGGTTGACTTATGCCTTATAAACCCTAGAAAGCTCTTGTGTTCGTGAAGAGAGCGGAAGTGTTAGAGTAAAGGTCGCCCAGAAAGGAAGTATTGGGTTTTTAAGCCATAAAGCTCATGTGATTTTTCGGTTGTTCCGACAGCGACGATCTTGCCTTAGCAAGTTCTAAGGGCCGTCAAAATAAATATCTTAGACAGTTATTAGCAAAACACTTGTTTTTGCGAGACGTACTCTTAAAGTGCTTCAGTATATAGTAGATGTAAGTTAAACCATAGCTTTCGTAGACCACATCTCCGGATGTACGAATCTTGAATGGTTATTACTTTACCTCTCCTAAAGTTACGCATAATCAGACAGATTAAAAGCTTAGCTTTCGTTCGGTCTCAATTTCTGTCCGGCCATTGTCTTATTCCGTGCTGGAACCGACTTCGTTTTAAGGGACAGACGGGCCGAAATGACGTTTTCGTTTTTCCTAAAACAACACTTAGACAACAGGTGATATATGTTTGCCAAACCAGAATAACGAACATAGATTTCATTAAATCTGATAACAAATAATTAATTCTTATCTACTCTTCTCTAAAATACTCGCCAAACAATGTAAAGCCTAACTCCTTGCCTTCTTTTGGCACCAGTTTCATGAGGGATCAACAATTTATTTTATTGTCTATTTATATATTTTATTCCCTAGAGGGTTGATACAAATTTGCTTTTTTAAATCCATGGCTCACTGCATTGCCATAGCAACACTGCCGCCTTCAGGGGAATCTCACAACCTCAACTCAAAAACAAGTTCGGTGATATTCGCCCTATCAAGATTCAACTTTTGGCTTAATTAAAACTACCTCAAATATAAGGGGAATAAATTATAGGAACGTGTCCAATTTCTTGAAGTGTTTTACCTCAATAACTTTTTTGACAAGCATTTTTTTTCTTTTAATGTGTCGTTTAAATCAATGAACAATTTTAAAAAGATTTTACAATCATTGTCAAAGATCGAGAGGAAAGTGCTTCACAAAGTCCTATCGTTGGTCGCTGTAATGTCTATGTCATGGTATGAATCAGGGTTCCTAGTCACCTCGCCACCGGCGAGCTCGTCACCAAAGTGTAATCGATCTCTCCATCAAGGCGTGTTACCTCGCCACCGATGACTCATCTGGTAGCAAATGTTATAATCATATTGAGTATAGTTATTGAATGTTTGATTATATAAATGTACGTTCTCCTGAACTCTAACTTTTTGCTTATTGTCGTTCTGCGGTTTTTACCTGTTAACAGGATCTTCTTATTAGCTTTCAGAACACACGTTTTGTCGACAAAAACATGCATGCGATCGATAACATGTTTTGTCGGTGTTTTGATCGATTGCCTTGGTGGCGAGTCATCCTGGTGGCGAGATGACTATAAAACTGAAACAGATTTGTAGCGCTACTGGTGTTCCTTAAAATTTTCTTTTATGCTTGATTTTTTTTTGTTTTTGTTTTTTTTGCAGCGCTGGCCCAAAGGGAGACAACCTGTACGAGTGGAACTCGACAATACTTGGTCCACCTGGGTCAGTGTACGAGGGAGGAGTATTCTTTCTTGACATTCATTTTCCTTCGGATTATCCTTTCAAGCCACCAAAAGTAAGAATTCAACACGGATAAAGTGCTTTTCGATTGAGTGTTGTAAAGAACCAATGAGAACTCCAAGGAAAAACAAGAAAAACTCTAAAGCGCGGGAAAACGCAGGCGACCAAGTCGTTAATCTGACTGGTTGAGAGAATGGTACGAATTTTCTTGACCAGTTAAGCAGAAAAGTGAAGCAAAGCCATGCAATCCCGGGTTATTTTCGACATTCAATTGAAAAATTCTCATATCTAATTGGGACGTAACTAGAGAGGGGATGGTGAGGCGCATGCGATCTTCCCATCTGTTACCATAGCGACATTACATCTCTTTGTGTGCCTGTGATTGAAGCCATCGTAAACCAATAACGCGCAAAGCAAGGGTTCGATCAGAGGCAGTGATGCCGTGCAAGTATGGCGAATTAACGAAGCATTTTGTATTTGATCTGTTCACAGGTTTCATTCCGTACTAGAATATATCATTGTAATATCAACAGCCAGGTTAGTCTGCCTTTTGCGTTGTTATAGTTATGTTATGAATTGCCCTTTGTTTCATTTATTCTCCATTGTTCCGGGTAAGTAAAGCAGCTATATCGCTCTGGGCTCTCTCTTCTTCCTGCCCTCTTCCTGCCAGACCCTCTCTCCCTCCTACCCACTCCCTCCCAAGCTCTTGCATGAAGGTGCCCCGTAAATCTGCGATCAAGCCCTCATTTTTAGCGCGTTAGCATTTCTTTAGCGTTTCTCGCCCACGGGAAAATACTAAGCCTTGGGCAACGCGAACCTGCAAGAGAGCTGCAAGGGGGCTGGCACTATTAGTGCCACACCTCCAGCGACCCTCTTCCCTGCAGCGCTCCGAACGAGGGCTTGGTCAAAAGCTGGCTTCTTGTGAGTTGGCGTGATCGTTCCAAGCTGTTTTGGGATCACTGAAAAGTTGGTTGGGAGGGGTGGTAGGGGGAATTTCTCCTCTTACCTTTCATAAGGCTATATATCAATCTTTGGTGGTAAATACATTGTTTCCTATCCTGAGCCCTACTGTAGTTAACCCTTTAACTCCCAAGATCTCATTAGTAATTCTCCTTACTGTCTGACATACAATTCTTATGATTTCAACTAGAGAATTTGGTATTGGATCAACCGATAATCCCCTAATTGATAATTTACTTTATTCTCATCACTTCTATGCTTGATATTGTACTGATATTATGAGGAGAAATTCTCTCTTGATCACTCATGGGAGTTAAAGGGTTAAGAGATCAACTTTTGTCTATTTAACCCCTTAGCCCCCCCCCCTAAGAGTGACTAGCATCAAATTTCTCCCTACAGTCCACCCCTGAATCACTCGTTAAGGTCATGAGAATAAAGGAAATGATCAGCAATGAAAGAAGCTTTTGATTGTTAAACAAATTCTCCTCGTCAGTACCTTAGGAAATGTATAAAGAGCAGTATGGAGAATATGCATACTGATGTCAGGGTGTTAAGGGTTAACGAATATATTACATATGTTTCCGTGCGTCTGTTCGGTAACAGATCACAGATGACGTTAAAATGTGGTAAGAACAAAAAAAGGGATAAACGAGGTACAGGTGACCGTGTCCCTCATGTTCTTACCCTACTTTGACGTCATCAGCTGCCGGGAGTCTATGTGTTTTGTATATAAAAAAGGGAAAATATTGTTAACCCTTGGACTCCCCGTGAGTGACCAAGACAGAATTTCTCCTTACTATATCTATACAATATCATGCAGATAGGTGATGAGAATAAAGAAATATATCAATAATGGGATTACTAGTTGATCCGATACCAAATTCGCCAAACTATTATGGTGAGAACCATCGGGCAGACAGTAAGGAGAATTACTTATGAGATCTTAAGAGTTAAAGGGTTAATGATAACGTCATCTATTGGTCTGTCCTCCACTTTATAGATCATACGTAAAAACCAATCAAAATGCGAGTAAAGTTTAGCTTATCTTATAACACGGAATACACTGCAAGTGGTGCACCCAATCAGATTGCAGCTAGAACGCCAGTAGATTTATGTTAAGAGCGGGCTGTGGAAACTATCATGGAAACAAAATGATGAAATGATGAGTAGTAAACTTTCCCTGTGCGTTACAGAAACCAAGATTGGCTCAGGCAGTCGTGATCATCCTTCTTTACGTTCTCGTTAAAAATCTTTCAGGGGATGGGAGGGAGAAGGTGGAAAGAAGAGGTAGCCTGGGAGGGAGTAGGCAGGAATGAGAGAGAGCCTGGTAGGGAGTAGGCAGGAAAGAGAGAGGGCCTGTTAGGGAGAAGGCGGGAAGAAGAGAGAGCCTGGGAGGGAGTAGGCAGGAAGAAGAGAGGGCCTTGTAGGAAGAAGGCGGGAGAAAGAGAGAGCCTGGAGCAACAAAGCTGCTTTACCTACCCGGAATAATGAACAATAAATTCAAGTAAAGGGCTTGGATAGAACGCGGCGGTTATTATACCTAGTGGAGTCAATAAAACTGAATAAGGAATTTGATTTTTTAATTATTTTTATTTGTTTTCATTCCAGGGTGTGATTTGTTTGGACATTCTTAAAGACAGCTGGAGTCCGGCTCTAACAATCTCAAAAGTCCTCCTGTCCGTTTGTTCATTACTCACAGACTGTAATCCAGGTAAGTAAGGGCGATTTTGAATCGAATGTTGCAAAGTAACCTGGGATTGCTTTGGTTTATCTTCACTTCGCTGCGATTGGTCCAAAACTTGCGCCACTTCCTCAACAATCAGATTCAAGACTAAAACCAATGCAGGCTGAGCTTGATTACCCGCGTTTTGCCGCGCTTCAGAAAATTTGAGCTCTCATTGGCTGCAGTCGTGATTACTGCGGATTTGGTTGTACGACAACCAATCGAAAAGCACTCTATCAGAAAAAAGTAGTTTACCCTTAATACCCTAACATCATTATGCATATTCTCCATACTGTTCTCTATAGTTCCTTAAGTGTTGACAAGGAGAATTTGTTTTACCATCAAGAGCTTCTTCAATTGGTGATCGTTTCCATTATTCTCGTAACCTGAATGCGTGACCCAGGGGTGGTATTGTAAGGAGAAATTAGATTCTAGTCACTTTTAGGAGTCAAACAGTTAAAGCAGATGGCGATTGATTATAAAACAATAAGTAATCAAATATCAAGTTCATAGTTCAAGAATCGTTTTTTTGTGTTTCTAAATTATTTTCCTCTGTACATTTTTTTTTCAGCTGATCCCCTCGTAGGAAGCATCGCCACACAGTTCGTTAACGACAGAGAAGAACACGACAGAATAGCGAAAGAATGGACCAAACGCTACGCAACATAAAACTGGAAAATTGAACAAAACTATTATAATTCATCCATCATGTTTCCAATCCATGTCTCAAATCATCCGCGTGGTGTTTTCTTGAGATAACGAGTAATGTTGCACCCAGATCTCGCCCACTTGAAAAGAACGGGCGAGGCTTGGGTACGATATTAGGAACGTGCGCTCGCCGTCTAAAATGAACTTTTTTCGCTTCGGTCTTCTTAGAAACGGATAGAGTCGAGAATGTTCTGTATCACTCGCTGAACGCTCACGCTATAAACGATAATTCTTGTGTCACTCGATGCTTTTAAAACCCAGTAATTCAGACGAATATTTAAAAAATTTAAGAAAGATTTGATATTTTTTTTTCTTCCCAAAAAACTTTAGTTTAAAAGCGAGCTTGAAAAAATATATTTTCGGGGTATTCTTCCGAGAAGTATCCTTAAATGACATTCATTTTAATAAAGATTTTGACGCAACCAACGACGTACCAAAAACATTGTTGAAATTTGCGGTCTGATAGAGAGAAAGAAGGTTGTAATATTGTTAGACTATATGTGTAAAGATAAATTTGACAGTTTCAGATTATCATTAGTGCTGTGAAGATTGTAAATAATAAAGTTTATTAATTTATCTGATGTTAAAGTGAGTTCTTATTTCTTTTACATTTGAATCTCTTTAATTAGACACGCATACCATCTGGAACATAATTATTTAATCATCTTGGAAAGCATGACAAACAGTACCACAATGAGAGGAGTACTTAGTGGCTTTCATTTAAATTGCCACAGTTTTATCAATGTAATCAAACTTTAAGAAACACCTTGTGGACCATAGAGAAAAAAACAGTACCACATGAAGATACCACTCGGTAGCTTCACGCACGGGATTTCGCCCTCATTTAAAATCACTCTGTACAGCGTAATAAAACTACAGGGGTTACGGTTAAATATGCTTCAGGTCTAACTCTGAGTAATTACAACTTAAGCCGCTAAGCGAGGGTTAAAATGATCCTGAGAATAGCGTTAATACCTATATTAATACCCAAGAATACGAACCGTATTAATATTATCTTCACTTTGAAGGGCATTGAGAATTTAAAACCGAGATAAATGACAATAAAACAGCCTGTACCATCACGCGAGCACGCAAGTGAGCAAAAATACATTTAGCCCGCCAAAATCTCCATTTAAGCGCGTAAAATGCATTACAATGCCCGACAGAGTGATAAAGATAAACTGTATCAACCATGCAGTTACTACTGCTTAGCAGCTTTAGTTTAGTTGATTTTAAGACCAGAAAAAATCTTTAGAATGTTACAAGGTTTTCAACAAAGGTGATTCAGATATCATCTCACATGTAACGCCTAAGACGGTATGGTTAAATATTAACCTAATAACGTCATGCGGTAAAGACATGATAATTTTCTTCGTAATCTTGAGCTTTAATTTGATTCTGAAATTCTTCAAAAAAACTGGTTCTCTTCATCCGCACAAAACTAAGTTGAAACATTCAGGTTAAAATTTCTGTGTAAAAAAAAAAAAAAACAGAGTTGAGTTTTTGCGCCATTAACCATAGCGATAATCGTAAAACTAATCAAGAAGCAAAACCTAAAAGGAAAAAAAAAACCTAAAACAGAGTTTATCATTCTACAAATCGGATATTTACAAATCTTATCTCAAGTAGGATTCTAAAGTGGTAAAGTTTCGGCTCTGAAAATAACCTCTGAGCCGTTATAATGAGATTCTGAAAAGTACGGATTTAGGTTTGGCTTTAGTCTACCGATCAAGTAGGAACACGAACACCCAGTTTAAGATTTGCGCCAAGAATTCTTGCGCGCTACTTTTTTGTGAAATTACTTATATTAAAGCTTCTGTACTGAAATGTAGCACTTTTGAAATCAAAAACGGTAAGCTTGATTGTCAGAAATGGGGCTAAGATTAAATATTAATACGCATCGCCTTTCAATTACACGCTACCATAAAGCGAAATGGCTTATTTCAAGAGTAAACTGGCCTTTGTTTTCCTTACATGTATTTTACACTTGTCAGCCAGCCACAGCGGTTGGTCACAATTTAACCCAGTATTAAACGGGCGGTTTATTTTACCTTCATTCGATCCATAATTAAAAGGGCACTTATGAAGTAAAATCGATATTTAAATCCGAGTTTCTTTTAAAATGACAATGAATATAACTAATTAAAATTATCAACGGAAGGCTGCATATTTTATTTTGTAGCATCAACCCTCCCAAGGACATTAAAGTTTAATTATAGAGCGGCGCTTTTCTCGTGCCCCTAAAAACCAAAAAGAAGAAAACATCAATTAACGTAGGCGAAATTCAATGGAAGTTACTAAAACAAACGGATATCCGCTCCATTTTCAAACGGATAAGTGGTTTGTGTAGCAGAAGGAATCAGATGCTGAGGTGGCTAAGGCAAAAAACTCTCAGTTTATGCCAAAAGTGCACGCATATTCATTGACACTGAATTCAAACGCAACCAGATTTAAATGATGAACGATTCGTGCTACGAAAATATGGCTGATTCTGTTCCAGCAATAAACACCACAGATTCAGAACGAATACCAGCTTTTCTTACACAAAGAATTGTTCAACAGATTTGTTATGGCATGATTTTCGTGCTTAGTATGGCGGGGAACGCAGTGATGCTAGCAGTCCTCCTCCACAGAGGATCTCGCCTCCTCTCGCGCAAAGACATTTTGCTGCTCAACATGATCGTGGCAGAGTCTGCTGTTGCAATCACCAGCATTCCACTTGACTTTACCTTGTTATTTTTAAACGATGGTTGGTTATTCGGTCCTTTTATGTGCCACATTTTATGGCCAATGCAGACAGCACCTTTTGGAGCGCTGGTGCTAACTCTCACCGCGATGAGTATACAACGTTACAAAGGAATCGTGCACCAAATGCGAAGCAGAAATGCAGGAAGAAAGTCTTCGTTCGTCACAGTCATCTTCATTTGGTTATTCTCGTTAATAATCGTGGTGCCATACGGCGTTTTTTTGCGTCTCGAGGAAGGACAGTGCAGCGAAACATGGGGAGCAATCGGATCACAAGTGTATACGCTTGGATTGTTCGCCTTCCATTATGTGATTCCGTTAACAATCATCACCTTCTGCTATGCACGCATCGCTATTCGCATCCGCCATGGTCAACGGGAAGGAGCGAGTATCATTTCAGGGACGCACAAGGCGCGTTTAAAACGCTCAAGGCGACACGTTCGCGCCATGCGTATGGTAATTCTCTTTGTTGTTGTGTTCGCGGTTTGCATGTTGCCGCATCAAGTGGTTTGGCTATGGATAACGTTTGGAAAAGAGGTGAATTATTCGGACAACTTGTTAACCTTTGCTTACATGTTTACTTTCACAAGCAGTTTTGCCAATCCTCTTGTGTACTTCACGCAGAACCCCGCCTTAAAGGCGAAACTAAAAAGCCTCATCTTGTGTCGTTTGATGCCTGACAGTCGCCTTAGAACTGGTAACAGTTTCTTCACAACTAGCGACGACGCTTCTGCTGATTCAAGAGTTTGAGCGATATCAGCAGCGTGGTATATTAAACTACACCAAAAACCTTTGAGAACACAAAGTGTGTTTATAGCCTTAAGCTAAGTATATTTTTAGAAAGGCAAATTGCCATTAAATTGATAAAAATTTGAGTAAATCTCATTGCCTCAGGTAAAAATTGCTTAAAGTGCTATGATTTAAATAATTCTCAAATTTATAGTCTGCTAAAACTTCACGCTATCAGTTTAATTTCTTAGGCAATTAGAGTTTCTAGGACATTCCTCGAACCGAGCAAAAAGAATACAGAATTGCCTGTAATATCAGCGCTATGGAGAGAGATCAGCGCCATACAGAGGAATCGGCTCTGTAGAGAGCAATGTCTAATTTAGATGCTTTTCACGAAATGACCCTTTTTAGAAAAACTGATCTAACTCTGCAAGGAAAGTGTGAAAGTTTAATGAACTCATTAGGATTGACGATCTGATTTTTTTCCTAAATAAAACTTTCACACATTTCAATTCGGGCCCCGAATAATTAAGCAACATCGACTCGATATCATTTTCAGACTGTTTAATAGTTTTTTTTGGAGGAATTTTATGACCACCGTCAGAAACCAGTTTGATGAAACCTAAAATTCCCTAAATTACAGTGCCAACAAACTTCCTCCTTAGCTTTTCAATTCGTAAATGTCGATGACTTCCTCAACCCTTTTTCATTTCATTACTGCCTGCAATCAACACATCAATCTCAGTCCATTGTTAAAAGATTTCGCTTCAGAACAATTTAGGCTCAGCCTGATTAATTTTATTGCGCTAAAATCACTGAGAAGCCTTCGTAACGCTTCGCATAAAACTTCACAAGCGCATTTTTTCAACGACGACAGGTAAAGTTCACAGATCGACATGAAATCTCCTTCTGCCGAGAACGCCTACCTCAGGCAGACAAAACAACTTATAAAACAAGCTTAAAAACAGTCTCACTTGTCATGGTAACCACCCATAGTAAAAGAAAAAAAAGAGAAAAAAATCCCCGACTTTTTTAGTAATTCACCGGAAAACGATTTTCAGGTCGTCAATATTTCTCAGTCGGTCAAGTTGTTTCCACGCGAAGTGTGAGGAGAAATGAACAGTTTTCTTTCTGGGAGTTTTAAAGTTCAGGTTGCTGCTCTCTGAACTTCCTGAAATTTTGAAGTTGTCTGAAATAGTATCGATAAAGATTTTAAATATCAGCTTAGGGCGATCATATCGTCTCCAGGACAAAAAAAGAGCAGCGTTCCAAAAACTTCGTTTAACGATGTACATAAAATTTGCGTGTAAACATGCTTACGTTTCCACACGCATATTTTGAGAACGCTGGGAAAAAGTTTACATATAACCACCGAAAACCCAGATAAACACTTCAAACATAAGGTATGGCATTTTAAAATATGTTTATTTGAAGAGAATTACGCAGTGGTATTTACAACACATCTGAAACCTTTCACATGTTACATCCAATTGGACGCTCCTGGTTTACATAAAGCATTCAGACACAACAAGCTGAGAGGAACATTCCCTTCAACAGCTATTAATACTTTATCATTAAACATTTCCTCGATAGTAATGTAAAAAAAAAACAAAACAAAACAATTAGATACACTGATTAAAATACAGATGAGAAACTTGAGACCGTATTTTCAACATTAGAAGAACAAAATCTAACGTTCTTTAACAAAGTAAAAGTTGGTAAGTTTAATCCAACAAATTCGGCCTTTGTTGTTTTTATTCCCTTCGGAGATTTTCCAACCTAAAAGAGGGAACAGGTTAAAATTTAAATAAGCTCATAGGAGAGAACCCTGCTAACTCGCACGGCCGAGGAAAACGAACATCTGCTCAAGAGAAGGGCGTTCTAATGAGCTGATCGTAGGAGTAACAGACTTGAAATGTTTTTCGAAGTTAAGTTAAAGTTTGCTTCCGGAGAAAATTCAAGTTTGCGATGTTTCATTGAGTAAACTTGAAACTTCTCGTAGATCGCATATACGCTTAATTCTCTGGGTCATTGTAGGAATATATGGTGCTTCAGATTTGTCCTCACTTTGGGGGTTCGAACGAACCTCGAGTATTTCCCGCTTTTAAGTCATCGTCTTTTGGCGTTTAAAGCGCACAAAACTAGTTATTAGGTCTACTGCACATCAGTTAGAAAGGAAATCAGACTGGCTTTTTGTGATATCATTAAAAGGATTACGGAGCATACTGCAGTTCGGAAAAAAAAAAAAAGATTAAAAAAACGTTTGCGGTTGAGGTCAGGATAGGTTTCCTTAGAGGGCTCAGTGTTTTCTCTTTAGTCCACAGGGGTGAGGAGGGACAGAAGTTGAGCTGAAGAAAATGTCCAACCCTCATGACCATGTCTGTGGGGCTAGTAACGTCAAAAGCGTCATGTGCAAGGACAGACGCGAACGTAGGACAAAGAAAATCTTCTGAGTTCTCCAAAGAATACCAATCCCAGCCAGAAAAACTGAATTTCAGGGTCGTTTGCTCTCTCAACTAGGTTACTGAGAGCTCATTGCTGGGCTAAGCCGTAGCTAAGTTCGTACAGTAACACTCGCGCGTGCCGCAGCATCACACGAGTGTGACACGCGTGCAATCCCACGCTCTGCAAGCTCGAAACACACACAATGTGCGTCACTACACGCATCTGCATGTAAAACACTGCTTAAGTGTTATTTTTATAATGATGCGTGTATCTAGACGCTCTGGAAGCGCGCGTAATTCCCCCTAATTAGAGGCGCATGACGCGCGTGGGGTGCTGCAGTACACGTGAGTACTTCTGACGAGTGCCCTGGATACTTCTGGAACCAGCAGAGTTGAAAGCATCCAGAGTATATAAAACAAAACAAAAAGTATCTAACCGGGCCTGAAGGTCGGCGTCGGCGTCGGCGGTGGCTACGGCCTGTTTTGGAGCTTCTTTAGCAGCTATACCTCCCGAAGTGGTCGGCAGTCCCGTAAGCTGAAAAAAAGTATGAAATGTGATATACCTTAAGTTGATCTAACTCAGAAAAAGGATACCAAAGTCCTTTGAGCTTCAAGCTTAAAATTTTTAATACTCCCTTATTGTTTGCGATCACTTTTTCCAAAATTTCACATCCTTAAATGAAGAAAGACGTTTCTTCATCTTATCATGAGTGTGGGCGTAGGACAGAAAAAAGTTTGAGTACTTGTGAGAAATTAAACCCTGGAGGAATCAAACCTTCCCGCAGAAAGCTTAGAGCTGTTTCCAATTGAGCGTCGAAAAAATAAAACTTAAGTATTCACAGAGACCAATCGGAACGAAGGTTTAAATTACCGCTAGCCAATGAGATCTCGAAGGGAAAACAAGCAAACTTCTTGAAGCGCGGGAAAACGCGAATGACTAAGACGCGGTTGTTGTAAGTTTGGCAACTTATTGGTTGAGAGGATGGCACGGGTTTTCTGGGCCAATCACAGAGTTAAATTAAACCAAAGCAATTCCTGATAACATATAATGCTCCATAGAAAATTGCTCTATTGGTGCATCTACAGTTGTCATTGTGCTTGGGGACTGTTATGAGTGCCTAAAGGCTTGCCATTTTTGATAGTACTCACTTGCAGGAGGTTTGACTGTGGTAAAACTTACCTCGTCATTCAGTGTCAGTCCTAGCTCGTCAAACACTTGTTGTACTATTTGCTCACTAAAGAGGAAAAAAAACCAACATTTGTGGAGTTCTTTCAGATCATTAGAAAGAATTACAACTAAGCCATCCTTTACGTTTGTAGAGTATTGATTGATGAACTGGGCTTCTGATCAACAGGTCCATGGATCCACACCTGACTGGGTCTTTGTGGAGAACATCTACTAAACTTAGTGTGAATTAGCATGAAGCAACTAGTGGCTTCACTACCACCCCCTAAATAGGATGCCAGCCCATTGCAAGGTTACCCCCCAGGATTTAATCAAACCTTCCTGCTAATTTGCTGGAATCCATTTATACTCCTGGGCCCAGTTGTTTGAAAGCCGATTAGCAATTTAAGTGAGTGTTAAATTTTAATCTAGGTTTCTCTGAACCTTTTTGTATTAACAATTTGCTGATAATTTTCTCTGTTCTTATAAGAGCATCCAATCACCAGATTGTAGAAAAGTGAAAATTGTACTGAATTTTCTTCTAAATCTTTTAAATCCGAAATCCAATTTTACACCAACACTGGGTTATCTTAACCCAGCTTTGAACAACCCTGTCCTGAGTGGAAAGAGGCACTGTGGGAATTAAGCATTTTGCCCAACAACACAATACAATGACGTGGCCAGGTCTCCACTCTGATTCTCTCAACCCTGTGTGCCAGTGCACTGACCATTAGCCCATATTGTCCCCACTGGTTAAAAGATACTTCCATCTTCCTCCCAATAAAATTCCCCCAAAAATTGTCAGGTTCTTCTGTTACCTCTCCTCATCATCCTCCTCATCTCCCATGACGTCATCAATAGCATCATTCATCATCTCTTCTTTCATGTCCATAATTTCAGACTGAAAGTAAAAACCAGTCCTTTCATTCAAAATCCTCTTTAAAAAAATAATCACTAACACGAATCAATCTTGAAGGCCAGGGTGGTCATTAAAAAATGTAATGATTGTATGATCTTAACTGAGCATTGATTGAATTGAGTAATAGCACTATTAAGTTATACTTGGGTAGGAAGCCTAACATGTTGCAAGGTATACTCCCTTACAAACATTTGAAACTCTCTCAGATGTGATTTCCAGCATTCTGGGAAAAATTTGTCTAATTAAGTTTTCTTGAACAGAAATTGATGTTAGGATCAGTTCAAAAATACTTGTTTTCTGTCTTTGTTCACAGTTTACAAAATAGCTGGCACAAAATTGTCTGACAGCCAACAGGGTTTCCGCCACTTATCAGCTTCTAAAGTAAACCCTGACTGTCTAGATTTTCCATAATTTACAGTTCACCTGCTTTTCAAATTCCATCATGATCTTCTGAATCTGTGGCAGTTTTAATTGTTTGTTCATGGTTGCCATCGTCTGAACAGAAAAGAATGAAAACAAAAAACTATTAGCTATCTCAAAAAGTTGTTATGATGATTTCAAAGGGGCACTTAGAAAAAAAAAACCCTCAAGTAATTTCTGGTAGTAAGACTCTTAGATTAGATTTCCCATCCACAATTTTTTGTATTCTCCTCTGAAACATAGGGATAAGTAGATGTTGTATCAAAACCTTCATTCTGCCCACACCCTTTCGGTGCATAAGCAGTTACAAAAAGCCACTTTCAGATTATAGGCCAAAAACTCCACCAAACAGTAATTTGGTCAATAACTTTAAAAATATGTGACCCTGACTACTAAAACACTGCAAAACCCACACCCAGTAGTCAAATGCATCATTTGCTCAAGAGTTTACATGTTTGAAAACATTTGAGCAGTCAAGATGCCAGTTTCATCTTTTCCTTACTTAACAATTACCATTGTAGT